CCTACAATTTTTTGTTTATAACGTAGTTTATACGGATTATTTTCAATAAAATATACGTATTTTGGAAATGTTGAGTCGAATTAGTCTAGAATCGATTAATTTTATGAAAGAAAACCTTTCAAACAGCCATAGTCCGTAAACTATGATTCCTACAAAATTGATTCATAAAGAACGGAACGTATCTACCGTCTTATAGGGGGATCTACTGTAATGCATATGTTACTGTGAAAGACCGAAATTAGAGAATGTCGATATTCTCCGGTGAATGTCAACACATACAAAATACGTCGGTGAAAGACCGAATATTTGGTTATATTATTATACATTCAAACAATCGCTGGTGTATGTAGACAAGCACAGATAAGCTTTGGTGAAGGTCGAAACTAATGTCAACAGAGAGGCGACAGTCTGTCACCAAATCCTTTGTGGGTAGTCGGAGGTAGGACAAGGTCGCACCTCTTTTCCCAGCAACGGTTTGGTAGAAACTGCTCACTTTGTCACTGGATAGTGTTTTTGTTTTTTTGATCCCATGAGATGGGGATCGGTTTGTCTGGTCGAGTGGCGGAGGATGAGAGGGGTTGTCGGTAAGACGTCAGCGATATCCGAATAAAAGACACCATTAACAGATTAGTTTGTAATTTGTAAAGAAAAGTTACTTTCCATAGATGAGATTTCTTCTCAAGAAATATCGTTGAGAGAAGCAGCTGCAGCTAATTTGAAAAGTGGAGGACAAGGCTATACATGCTGTCATTGCGAAAAGAAGTGTTCCACGAATAAATCCAGTTGTAAAAGCAAGGGACTCTTGTGCAATTCAAAGTGCCATAGCAATTTAAGTTGTTGCAATAAGTGAGATTGTATAATGTTAATCACATAATTTATGTGTAAGTTTATTATTGAATTAATTTCTTTTCTGATTAAGAATGTACTGTACGTTTTAGGTTCAATAGTTTATTTACATGTGCTATTACCTAAGCTTTCTCCTATTTTGACATATTAAAAAGTTGCATTTTTGACTTAACGTAATAAAAATATTTTTATTCAACATTCACCATCAGTGCATGCTGAATGTCGACATTTGCCAGTGTAAGTGAGAAATAAGGATATTTAGCAAATATTTCGTACATACACGAAACGACTGTGTGAATGCTGACATTCACTGGAGAATGTTGACATTCACCAGATATTGGTCATTCACAGTAACACACACAATATTTCATTTGTTTGTAGTTGTTCGTATGACAGTGTAACCAAGTAAAATACTGCCACTTAAAACTGGTTAAACTTGAATTAAAAACACTAAAACGTATGTTTTTAATTCAAGTGTAAACAAGCTTTATACTATTAAAACTGTTGAACAGTTAGTTCAATGTTTACATTAATATAATTCAAGGTTTGTCAATATAATTTTAATATAAACCATTATCATAAAAAAGTTAATTTTTAATTAAAAATATTACATTATTCTCAAAATTTTTTTGTTTACATTGGTAAAATAAAAGTATGTATTTTTACCTGTCTCTTCTGGAAAAATTGGTAACCATCCTCAACAACCTAAAATTTATTTTATTTTTAGTTTTGAAATTGACAAATAATAATTAAACATATATCTATTTTTAATTAAAACAAGAATAATATAAATATTTCAATTACAACACATTTAAAGCTTGTAAAATAATTTTATGTGACTTAATTTTTAAAATAAAGTCACATTAATTAATTAAGTTAATTCATCATTAAAATTATAATATAGATGCTATTGCTTCATTAGATTTTATATTCTTTTCTTAAAAATTTTCTGGCCATATACATAAATATTTCTGTACTTTGAACAGACATATTTTATCATCTTTCACTATTGATTTATTTCTTTTTCAATGTTTTCATCTTTTTCACTCATGATTTATAGTTTTCATTCATTTACTGAATGGTATGAAAATCATAGTAAACATAAAAACCATAAATCAAAACAGAAAGATGGGTTTTGTAACAAGGAATTTATTACCTATACCCTGCAATATATTAAATGTATGTATAAATATGATTTTATTAGTAAAGTGTAAAGCATGATACAATGATTGTTTGCTTTAAACTTTAGTCATTTGTTTTTAAACTAAACCTTGCATCAAAATTGTTTCCCACTATCTTTTGCGTTATTTTTCAACAGGCAATTATAAAATGATAAAAGAGACTGACATGATGTATGGTGTTTCGTGATAATCAATCATGTTATATGAATAGAATAAGCAAGCTTTTTATAAGTTACTATAGGCATTCTTGCAAAGTTTTCTATATCTTAACATTCACATCCTAGGAAACTTGTTTAATTTATAATGTTATGATATTTAGTGTTTTATGAATTTTTATTTTATTAAGATTGTTAGAAAAATACATGGAGAATGAAGCAATATAGNTTTCTTTATGTTGCAGTTTCCAAGAACCTACTGATGATTGTTAAGAAACACTTGCTATACATTTTAATTGTATGTCTGGTTCTGAAGCTGTTGCATCTATAAATGATATTTTCCTCAAAATTAGAATGTATCAAAGAATAAATAATAATTTTAGGCATTTCTGATGTTCTACAATTTTGTCATGGCATTGAAAATAATAATGTTTTTTAGTTCATATGCTCCTAAAGTTGAGCATATCAGCTTGTAGCCATGTTAGAGAAACTATATCTTTGTATTTATTTTTTTTTAGAAATGAAACATTATTAACATTTATAAGAAAATAAATTACTTTTATATTTTGATATTTCTTGAAAATATTTCAATATTCACAGTTACATGAATTCTATATAGGCTATACCAGTCTATAAATATTTTATTATAGGAATTCTGAAATTTCATCTATAGACAGCATACTTAAGGAAGTTCCTCAAACATAAATCCAATTTAAACTGCTTTTAGAATAAAATCTGTTTAGAAAATCTAAGTGCTTTTGGACGAAAGTCTCTCATAGGGAATCAGCAAGAAATTTTTCTTGTTGACTCCTGATCATATAGAATCTCAAAGCACTTGGGTTTATTAAAAAGTTTTTTCTTCAAGAAGATCAATTTGAATTGGATTTAATTTATCAACTCTGTAGAATTTAAATCAATATCATTTCAGATAAAGAAAGAGTCAGTTTCTGTCAAAAACAGTATATTTATTCTTCATCCCATTAACATTTTTATTATTTGTTATTAGATTGAGTTTAGATTTAATGGACAATTAATATATATGTACAGTACATTGCTGATATATACAGTGCATACAGTACAGGCCCAATCCAGTGCATGATTTTTAAAAGTGTGGAATTTTAAAAAATGTATTGTTTTCATAACATAGTTTACTAATTTTTACAATGTAGGTTGTAGGCATTCTGTTTGGTAAAACTACAGATCTGAATGAGTGGTTTCTGATCCCGTAGACAACCAAAAAAGTCAAAGGAACCATACTTCTAATTGTGACCCTTGGTGAGATATTGTTTTGTGGTAGCTGCTTGTTTAAACACACAATAGGCTTAACAGAGAGGCTTAATGACTCCACTTGTATCCCAGTTGTAGTTGGTGCAATGGCTTTTCTTGTGTTTTATGAGCTTTTAAAAGTATCTAATAAAGTAGAAAACAGTTCATTTTTAGTGTTATTTTGAGAAATAGTTCTGGATTTTTTCACTTTTAAATTTTACCCCATTTTTGGGGTCTTCAAAATTCCAGATGTAGCCCCCCAAAATTGGCCTATCTCATGAAAGGCATTTGTAGACCATTGGGTCTTTTGACTTTTTTTTTAATCCTACAGGTATGGTCTCCAGCTCTGATAAACTCTCAACCACCTCATTCAGAGCTGCATTTATATCTTTCTTTTCTTTTTTAATTCTTCCCAAATAGCAGGTTAGTCTTGATACAATACATAGATTTCTGTACATCAAGTTAAGATTGTGCAAATAAATATTTTAAAAAATTAATGAAAATTTAAAACTGATTTTGTTCATGTTTATTATAATCAAATATTTGTAAAAAATATTTATTTTCATTGACTGTTTTTCATATCTTTCAACATTTGATTTTATCTAGGCACATTTTAATGTATCATTCTGTAAAATTATTTTAATTAAAATAAATAATAATATTTATCTTATTTCAATAATAATATAATATTTACAATTAAAAATATTTTAATCCATTGGCATTGATCTACAAAAAGCTATGCTAGATTTTTATAACTTAATATTTTTTAATTACTATACAGTAAATTCATAGAAGATTTTATGAAGATTAAATGTGAAAACCATGATTCTATGGGTAAAAACTTTTTTTTTTGTAAGTTGTACTAAGAAATAAGTTTAAAAAATCTTATTTAAAATTCAACAGATAAATTCACTAAAAAAAATAATAAATTTCTTGAATTTAGGAATATGTAAAAATTTTAAATTATTAATCATATAATAAAACAGTTTTAAAGACATGCTAGAATCTTGCTATTAATTCTGAAACTATCTTTTCCAAGATGAGTTGAGAAGGTATTTACATTGGTTACATTGATTATATTGATAACACACCTGTTAAGTTAGCTCCTCATATATAAATCCAATTTAAACTGCTCTTTTGGAGTGAAAATATATTAGGACAGTCGAGTGCTTTCATGCTACATGCCTATCATCGGATATCAATAAGAGAAATAAGGTCAGCAGATGACAGATCACTGCTGGTGTTGTCTTTCGTCGCTCCCAGATAATGGACATTGAGCTCAAAATCACTTGAATTTTCTTTCCCCCCAAGAAATACAGTATGAATTGGATTATAAGAAGACAGTTAAAAGAAGAGATAACTACTGTAAATTTAATAACAATTACAGTATTCATATATCTTTTCTTTTAAAGTTACACTATTAAAATATCTTAAATGTGATCATAATAAGATTACAAGACAAATTTAAAACTTTCATTAATACAGTACTTTCCTCACAACATCAGTAAAATAATATATAATTACTTTGTTCTTCAAACAGTTTTATATTATATTATATTTAATAAATAATCAACTGGTTACTAGAATTTTGGCATTTAAAAACATCTATTGCTCTGTCTTTAGAAGCATCCTCTAAATTAAAATGTGAACACTCTAATCTTAATTTATAAAATTAATTTAAATGAGGTTTTGAAGATGTTCCAAAAAGCACTTATAAATGTTAAAATTCCTTTACAGGCTGATTATTTTTGTATTGTTTAATTATAATAATAAAAATTTATAACACAAACTAAATTTTACTTATATTTTCTACAACATATATATACATATAAATTATATATATGTATGTATTTATATATATATATAATATACAAATGCCAATGGATTATTGTTTGATAGAAATTCACGTATAACTTCAACAGAAACCAATATTGACATTTACAACAGATGATGCAATTCACAGAAGTAACAAAGAATGACAAACATTTTATTACATTTGCAAAACTTATATATATATTTAATTTCATTATATAGCAAGTACTTTCTCATCTTTTTATTATAAACTTATAAATATCTAATGTGCACAAATTTATTCAAAATCTGTCACTGAATAGAAGTTTTTTTTTTATGTATATACAGTATACAATATACTTTTCCCATAAAGAATGGAAATAGTTTTGATTTCATCGTACATGCAAATTGCACATACGTCTGTTTTTTTTCTATTCTGAAGTTGTCTGGGAAGCAAAAACTGTACAAATCTTTATTTTACTTGACCATAAATTAAAGAAGATATGAATTCCAACTTTTAAAAATAATTCAGTCTTTTCTATTAGTTGTTCTCATTACAAGTTTTGTTTTGTCAGGCTGTAATAAAAAGTTAATTTTACATAAAATATTTTAGTTACAAATCAATATTAACTTAGTTTATATTTTGAGAGATAATAAACAAAAAAGAATTTACTTACGGGCAGGATACTGAACCAACATGTTAAATCTTCTGAAACAATCATAATTGCTCCTGCGTTGTCAAATTCGCCACAGTAATTTGGAGCACTGAATAAAGTAACAAGCTGGAAAAAATAACATAAGTTAGATCTGTTTATATCAAATACAAGCATACAAAAATAATGAATAATCTTATATGATTAAGATAAAATATAACAGAAAGAATTGAAATATAAATGCCAGTAAACATCATTGGATTTCCTGGTCTAATATTGGCTACTTTCCAATAGAACAACTTCCTAAAGCAAATGACATGGAATTAGGGGGTTCAAAAATATTTTCAATGTGATAAAATACTGACTTCAATTCAAATTGATGTTCTTAGAGTAAAACTTTTTGAAAATTCAAGGGCTTTGTACCCATCATCAGAAATCAATGAAATAGTTTTTGCTCTAAGAAAAGTTTGGATTAAATTTACATTTGAAGAACTTTCTTAACAAATAAATTATTGACTCCTATAATTTAGTCTATTTTATTTTAATATATTCACTTTACCTCAATCATCTGTTTTATCAACATAACCATTACAATTGAATTGTTGCAAGTCTGGATGTTGTTATAAAAATTATTCTTGTTAAAATAACTTATATACCAGTATTTAGTCATTTTTTATATTTAATAACAGCTTAAAATTATATGAAAGCTATTTTTTAAATAAGGTCTGTTTTTTAATAAGAAGAAAAATACTGTAAATATTATTAAAATATATTTTTTTCCCATATTCTACATACTTTTATCTACTTTTCTACATAATTTCCATTTTTGTTCAAACATCTATCATACTGCTCAACAATTTTTTGAATTCAGACTTCAAATATATCTGCCACCTGTGAGAAAGCCGAATCCATGACTGTAGTTTTCACTTTGTCATCATTGAACCGTTGGCCACCAAAAAACTTCTTTAAGTATCGAAATAAATGAAAATCACTGGGTGCAAGGTGTGGATTTAAGGTGGATGATACAGTTGTTCCCATCCAAAAGAACTGATTAGACCTTGTGTTTGTGCAGAAACATGTGGCCTTGCATTGTCATGGAGCAACATCACACAGGAAGACATGCCACTTGTTTTGTATGGCATGCCGGAATTTTCTCAAGATCACACAATATCCATCAGAATTGATTGTTGTGCCTCTTGGCATAAAATCCACTAACAAAATCCCTTTCCTGTTCCAAAAGACAGTTTCCATAATTTTCCGTGCTGAAATGGACTGTTTGGCTTTCACTTTAGTTGGCGAAGATGTGTGTCCCATTCCATTGACTGTTGCTTGGACTCGGGAGTCATGTGAGACACCCAAGTCTCATCTCCTGTAACAATGTGGTCCAACAATTCATCTCCTTCATGATCGTATAGAGTCAAAAACGATAAAGCACTGCCCAATCTTTTTGTTTTGTGATCAGAAAGCAGTCTTGGAACCCACCGAGAACACAATTTTCAATAATTCAGTTTCTCCGAAACAATGGTATACAAAACTGATCTTGAAACCTGTGGAAATTCAATTGGTAACATTTAAATCGTGAATTGTCGGTCCTCTCGAATTTTGTTATCTACATCACAAACCAAATCTTCAGAAATCAGAGGTCAGCCAGGGTGTGGCTCATCATGCACATTAACCTGTCCGTCCTTGAACATTCTCACCCACTTTTGAACTTTACAATCACTCATAGCATTATCATCATAAACTTCACAAATGTGACGGTGAATTTCTGCTGCTGCCAAGTTTCTTGCACTCAAGAATTGAATAACAGATCATATCTCACAGTCGGCGGGCAACTCAATTTTCTTAAACATTATAAACTTGTACAGCTCAGCACACAGACAGATGATACAGCTGCAAATGATGTCTAAATGTATGCAAAGCATGCTTGGAGTAGACGCACCTATGCACTGCCACGATCGCACGTCATTCTCACTCTCATTCACAAACAGACCTTATTTAAAAAATAGCCCTCATACATCAAATTTTAAATATAAATTTTGCGATTTTGTTGTAACTATTGTTCATTTATTCCTATTGTAAATNTTTTAGGTTCAATAGTTTATTTACATGTGCTATTACCTAAGCTTTCTCCTATTTTGACATATTAAAAAGTTGCATTTTTGACTTAACGTAATAAAAATATTTTTATTCAACATTCACCATCAGTGCATGCTGAATGTCGACATTTGCCAGTGTAAGTGAGAAATAAGGATATTTAGCAAATATTTCGTACATACACGAAACGACTGTGTGAATGCTGACATTCACTGGAGAATGTTGACATTCACCAGATATTGGTCATTCACAGTAACACACACAATATTTCATTTGTTTGTAGTTGTTCGTATGACAGTGTAACCAAGTAAAATACTGCCACTTAAAACTGGTTAAACTTGAATTAAAAACACTAAAACGTATGTTTTTAATTCAAGTGTAAACAAGCTTTATACTATTAAAACTGTTGAACAGTTAGTTCAATGTTTACATTAATATAATTCAAGGTTTGTCAATATAATTTTAATATAAACCATTATCATAAAAAAGTTAATTTTTAATTAAAAATATTACATTATTCTCAAAATTTTTTTGTTTACATTGGTAAAATAAAAGTATGTATTTTTACCTGTCTCTTCTGGAAAAATTGGTAACCATCCTCAACAACCTAAAATTTATTTTATTTTTAGTTTTGAAATTGACAAATAATAATTAAACATATATCTATTTTTAATTAAAACAAGAATAATATAAATATTTCAATTACAACACATTTAAAGCTTGTAAAATAATTTTATGTGACTTAATTTTTAAAATAAAGTCACATTAATTAATTAAGTTAATTCATCATTAAAATTATAATATAGATGCTATTGCTTCATTAGATTTTATATTCTTTTCTTAAAAATTTTCTGGCCATATACATAAATATTTCTGTACTTTGAACAGACATATTTTATCATCTTTCACTATTGATTTATTTCTTTTTCAATGTTTTCATCTTTTTCACTCATGATTTATAGTTTTCATTCATTTACTGAATGGTATGAAAATCATAGTAAACATAAAAACCATAAATCAAAACAGAAAGATGGGTTTTGTAACAAGGAATTTATTACCTATACCCTGCAATATATTAAATGTATGTATAAATATGATTTTATTAGTAAAGTGTAAAGCATGATACAATGATTGTTTGCTTTAAACTTTAGTCATTTGTTTTTAAACTAAACCTTGCATCAAAATTGTTTCCCACTATCTTTTGCGTTATTTTTCAACAGGCAATTATAAAATGATAAAAGAGACTGACATGATGTATGGTGTTTCGTGATAATCAATCATGTTATATGAATAGAATAAGCAAGCTTTTTATAAGTTACTATAGGCATTCTTGCAAAGTTTTCTATATCTTAACATTCACATCCTAGGAAACTTGTTTAATTTATAATGTTATGATATTTAGTGTTTTATGAATTTTTATTTTATTAAGATTGTTAGAAAAATACATGGAGAATGAAGCAATATAGAAATGAATTATACTATAGAATTTTTATTTAAAATAATAATAATAATAATAATAGTACATATTCTGAGGGAGCTGACATGTCTTTGAACTTTATATAAAGACATAACTTTTATTTATTCAGCTACATATACTTTAAGCCCACTTCATTCCTGGACTCTATTTAATGTACAAATGTATTTTGGCCACAAATTTTATTCAATCTTTACCTTTCTTCAGTATATAAATATGTAAATAAAAAGTCCAGGCTTGAAGTGAGCCTATAAATAGCCACATAAATAAGAATTATGACTTTACATGAAGTTCTGAAATAATAACAACACTTTATTTTATTAAGATTGTTAGAAAAATACATGGAGAATGAAGCAATATAGCAAATTGTAAGACACTTTTAAAGGATAGTCAAGCCATTACTATAGGAAGAAGCTGTATAATTATATACATATTAAGCCAATGCACACATTTTGATTCAAAACTATCTTTGTCCAAATCCAGAAATTTAAATTATGCTTAAATTTGATTTTTGTTTTAAATCTTAAACAAATTAACATTTAAAATGTTTTAAAATTTAGAACAAATTGAGAAAAAGAGAAGATAATTAATTTATCATAATAAGTTAATGTTCCTGTTATAAAACGTTTTTCTAGTGTAGATTATTTAAGAGGTTAAAATACATTTATTTCATAATTTATCTTACCTGGTGAGCTCGAACAATTAAACTGCAATCGTGTTTCTCTAAAAAACTCCTCACTACATCACCGCCAAATGTATACGAAACACCACGGTCATTTTCTCCCCAGCCAGTAATATCCTGTTTTTGTAATTTATATCCATATTAAATTATTTTTAAATTGATTATAAATCTATCTTTATTGTGAAATCCATTTTGACAAACCTCATCAGGATCTGACCAAAGAAGATCACAGATTAAACCATGGTCTGGAACATCAATAGGACGGGGTATCGAACGTAACTGTAAAATAAAAAAATATATATATATAAATTGTGACAATAGTGTAACTTAAAGTTATTGAATCTATAATTAGAATACATCAAATAGTTTAAGTCCAGAATTATCTTTCACATGAAATGTTAAAAGAAAAAATTTTTATCTAAGAACATAAAAATAACAAATTTAGTATTAAATATGATTAAAACAGTTTTATTTTAAGAGCAATTATTAATAAGATCCCTAATTTTTGTATGATTTTATTACTAAAGTTTTACATTAGTCATTATTCTTATTTAAAACACAAGTTCACAGGCAGTAAATACATGTAATGTTCACATTAATTAACATACATCTATTAATAGCTTATGAAAGGAACATAAAAACATAATAAAAAAATTTATTTTGAAACCATAAAATACATGGTAGGTGCCAAAATTTTCTGGTCTAACTATGTTTTAGATGTTAGAGGTATAAAATAATGATGTCATTTTTCAATATAGTCTCCTTGTAATTCAACACTTATTACATCTTGGAATTAGCATTTCAATACTCTTGAAAAAATAATCTGCAGTTTTGTCTGCAAAATGCTCATAAACTGCCTCCTGCAACTCCTCATCACTTTTTCAAAGGTCTTTTTTGAGTTTTGGAAATAGATAATAATCACTAGGAGCCAAGTCCAGGCTGTAGGGTGGATAGTCAAGGTCCTCAAACCCACATTCCTTCACAGTAGCCTTGGCAATGGCAGTCATATACACTGGTGCATTGTCCTATAAGAGGTGAACATGATCATGATACAAATTAATACAACAAATCTAACTAAAATGAATGTTTCCAAGTGACTTATGCAAACTGTGTGGGAAAAACTGTTTTATTAGCCCACATACAGATGATGCTATCATTATTTTATTCCTATCATGTCTAAAATATATTTAGGCTAGAAACTTTTGGCACCTACCACATTTATGTCATATTTTAAAATTATAAATATGAAGGTAGATGACATAAAAAATTAAATTAATATAATAATTCTGTACTGTAAAAAGATCATTATAATTACTTATAATTAAATCTACAACAAATTGGCAATTGAAAATAAAATAAAATAAACAAAAACTTTGAGATGATTTCTTCTAAACTACGTATCAGTTAAATGGCATTTTTTTCAAGAGCAAGTTTAGAGGTTCAGAAAAAAATGTCTCATAATAAATTTGTTATGAGAAATTTTATTCCATACCTCCTATAGCATGTGTTTATTTTCATTTTAGTAATTTTATACAGAGTTCATGTTTATGAGCATTAGACATAAGAAATTATGGCAATTTATTTTATTTTATAATTATATTATGATGGTTTATTGTTATTTTACAGCATCAATAATAACAAAAAATGTTTGTTATTATTTTACAGCATCATTGAGAATTTTCAAATGCACATATGACTGTGGTATCTATCTCAGTTGCAAGTTTCCTCAGGAGATCATTTTTACTAATTCTTAAATTTAAAAACTTGCCATCATAATATGTCAATATTTATGTAAATCATCATTGTCATTAGCGTCTCTACTATTATTTTCTGACATTGCAACTTTAAAGATATTCACACATTGGATAAACTGTATATAGTGGAGTAAATAATTAGACTATTTATATCTCAAACATGTAGAGAAGTGACTTGTAATTGAATACAGTTAATTTAACAAACTATCTCCATCTAAACTGTTGCATATCTTAGGCCATTATCATCTGATTTGGACCTTTTATTGAAAGATCTGTGAATTTTATCCAAAGAATAAAAATTAATACCTTATAATAAACAAAACAATAATGAACAGATACAACAAACAAAGAGAATAAAGCACAGCATTCAGACTGTTTCCTCAGAGTGTCATGCTAATAAATCAATCTAAAATAAATTAATGTAAAATTAATTATATAGCAATTACATCAGAAATATATAATAATACCATAAATAAATAATGATTTTTATTATATTTATAATCAAAATATTTTATAAAATGCAGAATAGTTTAACACACTCAAAAATAAAAATTTACTTGATTTTTTTCTACCAAATTACTAGAATGAACATAAATTATAATCATCATTAAGATGACTTACAGATTTTTAAATCTATTAACTAGAAGAAATAAATGTTGCATTCATTCAGAGCTATAAATAAAATTCTGTTGTTTATAGTTAATATAAATTTTCAAATTATGAAAAATAATGATTATATTATTTAATTTCTGTTATGTATAAGTATATGTTAGCTACTTATAAAATTTAACTTAACAATTAGTTCTCATTAATGAAATAATTATAATTAATTATGAAGTATTCTATTTAGTAATCCTTTGAGAGTTGATAAATAGCATACTTTATGATTAATATATGTACTTAATCATTCCAAAATCTCATTTGAATAATATATTTGTATGTGTATGTGTTTTAGATTTAAATTATTTAACAAATACTGATAAATTTTAATTATTAAGCTAGTTTTATAGCCTATAAATAAATTAAATAAATTTATTGATGTAGTTTATATCAGTAAATTAATTTATTTCTCCAGTTTTATCTTGAGTAAATTTTATGATATAAATAAATTACAAAGTATTTATTTAAATGAAACAAAATAAGATATTAATTTATTTTTAAATTGTTGGATTTTGAATTCTCTTTATTGTAATTCATTATGTTCAGTTTGTCTCTTATTGAGGAATCTTAAGGTGTATCTGACATATGCCATGTCAATGCCAGTCTCTTCTATTTCAGCCAGGATGATGTACACTCACTCCATTGCTTCATTTGTCATCTCGATGACAAATGAACAGTGTAGTGTACATCATCTTGGCCATAAACAACACAGTGTATGTTGGATACACCTTAAGATACTTCTCTATTGTAATTAAAATATTAAAAAATAAATTAATTTAGCTGAGTATAATCTATAAATGAAAAAATCAGATTAATTATCCATATACAATGATTAAGAATGTTTTGTTTTGCTTTAACTTTTCTAATTGGTCTTGATCCTATACTTTAAGGTTTTCAACCTTATTTGCTTGTTTACACCTCTCAGAATCAGATTTTATTTGCTAACACCTTTACATATTCATACAAAATAAGAATAAATTACATATAAGATTAAATAAAGAATAAAATAGGAATTGATATTTTTTTATTAAAAATAAATCAATATTTAAAATTCAATGTTTTACTTCACTAAGATTTAAAGATACCTCAATTTTTTTTTATTATATTTTTAAATATAATAAAAATAAGTTTATAATTTATCAATCCTAATAATTTATCAATCCCCTGGTAAATTGGTTGACTCTAAGGAGTAACTAGCAATCAGATTAGAATCTCTAGTGGTTATTTAAAAATTAATTGGGTACTTATTAAGTAATCAAATAGAGGATCCAGACTAATTATAAAATGCTATTCTTTTTTCTTTTTCTAAGTACTGAGTACACTTAATTCTGTTTTTACATGATAGATTGGTTCTCAGAAATTACATATAAAAAAAAATCATGTAAAAAAATACATTGTATGTATGGAAAATTAGAAGATTGCTTACGGACCTAAGAAATCAACAAAAATAATGAAATAAACCATATGAAAAATCTTATTTTTTTTGCATGTTATCAAATTTTATTTCATATACATTGCACATAAATAAAAATGAATTATAGGAACATAAATTTCACTTGTAAAGAATTAATGAACATAAAAATTGGGCAGAATATGTAATGTGAATTATACATAAGATTTTATTTGTTGTCACTTTCTGACAATAAATGCATACACTTGCACATGATTGAAATATCATTGTTATCACTAAAAATGCTTTGGTTATCGTGTTCATCATCCATAGGTGAAGTTCTTTCCGTGAACTCCTGAACAACATTAGCATTGATGTCCTGTGGTGCTGATGATACAGTGGTTTTATGAATGAATTCAGATATTAATGGCTGGGTTTGTATTGTGGCTAGGCCGTTATATAATTCTATACAAGACAACATTAACAATTTCAGATCACATAGAAACTTGTGTATTTACAAAGTTTCTAACCAGTAGTTAAAAACTATCAATATGATCCATCATTTGCTGCAAGAATTTTAATTTTCTTTATGTTCTACTGAGTAGCTTTCATGTTAATGAATGGAAGATATTTACTTGTTTTTAGGTTTTTTTCAGCTGTTGTCAGATGAAATTCACAAATTTTCATAATGTTCCACATCAAGTTAACTTATGCTATATCAAGATATAAGTTAGGATATACAGTACATATTAGATTTATATTTAATTCATCATTTTCTGAATTTACTTAGATATTTTATAACTGAGAGATCCAAGGCAATCATAAACATAAATATGTCAATCTGTAGATTCCAGACTTATCAAATTAAACTTTTAGATTAAACTAAGAGTTTGGCAACCACAAAATAAAATATATAAATTTATAAAAGCTGTCATATTATAGTAATAAGTAAGTAAGTATAGAATGTACTGTACAAGTATTCTGTAAGCTGCAGTGATAAAGATATACTGGTACTGTAGTTTTATTATAATTTTGTAATAATACTAAAATTATAGTTATATAAATAAATAAAAGGAAAAATATTTTGATATGCTATTGTTTTAAACAAAATTAAATTAAATAAAATAGACAAAATTAAACAAAATAGATATTTTATTCTCAAAAATGTCAACTTGATGAATGAATTTAGAATAAAATTGAATAGTCCTACAATTTTCTATATATTTTAAATATTTATACAGTTTATATCTAGGAATCTACTTACCATAAATATTTATTTAACATATTTAAATAATCTATAAATTTGTGTGTATTTTTAAAAAAATATCATAATATTTATGTACAGTATTTTAATAATTTATATTTTAATTTCATTTCTGAATTTTAAAAATATGAAAAATGAGTAAGAAAAATAAATAAATTTAAATGAATGAATTGTTTTTTATGATATTCTGATTGATATTAATATTTAATTTTATTGGGTTTTCTTTAATTCATTGTCTTAATATTATATGAAATAATTGTATATTTAATAGAAAATACAGATACTTAGCAATATATTGATAGAAGTAACTCATTCATTACTTTGAAATTAAATATAAATGTTTAAAAATTTTTAAATTGCATTTTGTATAATATAATATAATGAAGTTCATGAATATTTCCCTTCTCTCTTGTTTTTATATAGAGTGAGGCAAGATTTCTATGCTTGAGTGTATCGTGGATCTCCCAATTAAATAATATCTGGACCACAAATTCAGTAAAGACATGGATTTAATATATATGTAGCCTCTTGGAAGTTCAAATTTTCCCCTTCTCTTATTCTAAAACTCTTATTCTAAATATAAACTTAAGTTTGTGAGTATAATCTAATCCATAAATTTATTATTAATATTTAATTTATATGCTAATATACTAAGTTTTTATATATTGTATTTTTAAAATAACATATATTTTATGTACTGTACAATCTGATATTGGATATAACAGTGCTGACCGTTATTTATATACGTGGTTAACTACAATGATGCAATGAAATATCTTATGTATTCCAATTCAGTATTTTATTATGTCATAAATAATGTAATAAAGCTTTTTTCTTATTTTTGATGCAAAAGAAACAAAAGTGTTGTTTCAGATATATCGGAATTGACGTAATCGATTACGTCAAGAAAAATGACACATATTTGATTGAGTGATATAATACAACCATTGCGTAACAATTAAAGAGAAATATATCACGAATGTCTAGATTAGTGCTTTTCTTACACTTTGACATAGAAAATATTATTAAAATTCAATAATATTTAAATAACTTATAATTATTCCACAGGAGTTAAATAAACTTTAAAAAGAAGGCTGGGCCAACTTAAATTATTCCGTGGGCTGCAAAGAAGAGAGAAGAACAAACAAATCTACCAGATTTAGTAGAAAATCTACTAAGTTGAGTACCATATACGTCACGCGCTCTTTATATACCATTCCTTGTCAGAGAACCATCCATTGACAACCCTAAGTAGCGATGGTCCATACTATCCTATAACTTTGATGTTGCCGAATATGGAATAACGAATGATTTAATAAAACCATACACTCGCGAATGTTTGCGTAGACTAGGAGCATCAAGTGTGCCTGAGGGGCATTTCTAGTAATAAAGGAGGAATTAACTCCTCTCGTTGGTATTTGCACCAGTGTGGTGCGATTCCGACCGTACCCTTTTTTTTTTAAATGTCACACTACGATTCCTTTTATAAGAAAGATACCACTGAGTATTCGAATATTTTTTATGTAAAATCTTTCTATAAAAAGTCGTACTAAAATTGATGATGAGAATGAAAAAATGAATATAATGAATTTACCTTGGAAAAACATTCGAGTACAGTACATAAAGAAACACACTACATCTTAATAGTCAAAAGAATTCCACTTTTATTAGTTAGTTATGAAAAATCGATTTAAATTTAATTATTTTCAAGAAAAAAAAAAACTTAAATACAACGAGCAATTATATTCGGGCTGCAATTTTTAATCACATTTTTAATTTATTTAATTTAAAATATACGCTCCACACCTCAAATTAGCAGTGGCTTGCCCCTGTACATCATACTTTTCCTTTAATAACAGAGTCGTGCAAGTCATCTATTAACTGCTTTCAGGGGAAGGTCTTGAATTGAAATAACGTGACTTACAGTTTGCATCGGAAGTTCGTATATCGGGGCTTCCTGTCCCTAAGCTTTCCCTTCACCAAATCCCAGGAATTTTCCCAATATGTCGTGCTCCATCTTTCACCACCCTACGCCCCATTGTGGGCCTGGTCGAATCCTTAATAGACTAGCTTTAAAAAGCGATACCACAAGCCTTTATTTTCCAGGCGCGACCCCACGACTAACTACAAGTGTGCGATGGATTTAGTCACTTGGCCACTAGTGGGCTTTAAATTAATAAAAACTATTTTCTGAAAGTATAGAGCATGTGACAGCAATGTTGCCACGTCTACCGAATTTTCGGTAGATTACCGATTTTGGGACCGATCTACCAATTGAAGCAGCAAATCTACCGAAAAGTTTACGATAATTCAAGAAAGAAATTTTTATTTTCAATGTATCTAAAAATTCTCAATAAAATATTTCTTTGTACTTTCATTTCTTATATATCGTAAGAGACTTTATTGCAAAGACTCTGTCTCGTTTTGTTGAGAACATCTTGTGTCTGCCCCATTCTTCAGCTAATGTAGAAAGAATATTTTCGTAAATAAATCTGTTAAGCACGAAACAAAGAAATAAACTGAGCTCTGAAACAATCACTGGCTTACTTCTTACTAAACAATTACAGCAGAACCTCGATTATCCGGACTAATTGGGGATGAAGGTAGTCCNGCCTATAAATAGCCACATAAATAAGAATTATGACTTTACATGAAGTTCTGAAATAATAACAACACTTTATTTTATTAAGATTGTTAGAAAAATACATGGAGAATGAAGCAATATAGCAAATTGTAAGACACTTTTAAAGGATAGTCAAGCCATTACTATAGGAAGAAGCTGTATAATTATATACATATTAAGCCAATGCACACATTTTGATTCAAAACTATCTTTGTCCAAATCCAGAAATTTAAATTATGCTTAAATTTGATTTTTGTTTTAAATCTTAAACAAATTAACATTTAAAATGTTTTAAAATTTAGAACAAATTGAGAAAAAGAGAAGATAATTAATTTATCATAATAAGTTAATGTTCCTGTTATAAAACGTTTTTCTAGTGTAGATTATTTAAGAGGTTAAAATACATTTATTTCATAATTTATCTTACCTGGTGAGCTCGAACAATTAAACTGCAATCGTGTTTCTCTAAAAAACTCCTCACTACATCACCGCCAAATGTATACGAAACACCACGGTCATTTTCTCCCCAGCCAGTAATATCCTGTTTTTGTAATTTATATCCATATTAAATTATTTTTAAATTGATTATAAATCTATCTTTATTGTGAAATCCATTTTGACAAACCTCATCAGGATCTGACCAAAGAAGATCACAGATTAAACCATGGTCTGGAACATCAATAGGACGGGGTATCGAACGTAACTGTAAAATAAAAAAATATATATATATAAATTGTGACAATAGTGTAACTTAAAGTTATTGAATCTATAATTAGAATACATCAAATAGTTTAAGTCCAGAATTATCTTTCACATGAAATGTTAAAAGAAAAAATTTTTATCTAAGAACATAAAAATAACAAATTTAGTATTAAATATGATTAAAACAGTTTTATTTTAAGAGCAATTATTAATAAGATCCCTAATTTTTGTATGATTTTATTACTAAAGTTTTACATTAGTCATTATTCTTATTTAAAACACAAGTTCACAGGCAGTAAATACATGTAATGTTCACATTAATTAACATACATTAATAGCTTATGAAAGGAACATAAAAATATAATAAAAAAATTTATTTTGAAACCATAAAATACATGGTAGGTGCCAAAATTTTCTGGTCTAACTATATTTTAGATGTTAGAGGTATAAAATAATGATGTCATTTTTCAATATCCTTGTAATTCAACACTTATTACATCTTGGAATTAGCATTTCAATACTCTTGAAAAAATAATCTGCAGTTTTGTCTGCAAAATGCTCATAAACTGCCTCCTGCAACTCCTTATCACTTTTTCAAAGGTCTTTTTTGAGTTTTGGAAATAGATAATGATCACTAGGAGCCAAGTCCAGGCTGTAGGGTGGATAGTCAAGGTCCTCATGTAGTCGTACGCTATATGTTGTATGTATTAAGTTAAGTTAGTTTAGTTCTTTCCTGCTATCCTTTGTTCTATTATTCTATCTCCTTCTAGAACTTTCCTATCTTAATCCCTGTCCCTTGGGTGGGATGACCACTTCCGGGAAACGGAAGAACAAAGAAGTTCGAATTACCCCTAAGACACGGAGGAACGGACAAAAGGCATTCGAGGACGGAACTGCGAGAGGTACAGACGTGGAGAGTGGANGTTCGTACTTACAATTGCGAAAAGAAACTTTTGTTGCGACGATCCGTGTGCCTTTATGCTTCGAGCGTTAGGGTTAGCGAGACACGTGGTCGAATAATCCACAAAATCAAGTATTTTGCTGGATAAAATTGTATCCTCACTTTAAATCTGTCCCCTCGATGCTGTAGCTGTCCACTTCCGTACAATCCGTGTGCGATGTTCTTCGATGCTAGCGGATTGTAGCTGCTCGGTCCAAGCTCCTGAGATTTGCACGTGTTCGTCTTTTGTTCGGGTCACCAAATGTCGGGTTGATCCCAACTTACCGATTAAAGTAAATCGATCGACATAACGTAAAAACATGACACTTTTATTAACTAGCAGGTTAAATTCTAACTCCATCTTACAATGTTTTTTTAACGAGCGGTATCACAGTTCGTGGAACGTAGCGCAAGGTCGACTGGTCGTCTCGGCAGCTAGTCCAGAAGTAGTTCATCGGCTAACGCTCCGGGCAAATTACCGCTCTACAGAAAATGTTGACTATTTAGTTCGCGACCGCAACAGCTCCGGATACTATTGAATATGAGGATGATGACGAGGATAATGACGACGTACCGACTTACATCCGACGCGTACCCGCGAGTTCTTGCCGGGGTCAGCAACCAGATCAGGAAAACAGGACCGAAGGCAATGACAACCTACCGCTTGGTGATGAAGGAAATAACGATGTGCCAAATTTCCGTCATAATTACAATCTGCGCGGGAACAAAGTGAATTACCGCAAGTTACACTACGGTAATTATCCTTTATGTGGGGAACGTATGTAGTCGTACGCTATATGTTGTATGTATTAAGTTAAGTTAGTTTAGTTCTTTCCTGCTATCCTTTGTTCTATTATTCTATCTCCTTCTAGAACTTTCCTATCTTAATCCCTGTCCCTTGGGTGGGATGACCACTTCCGGGAAACGGAAGAACAAAGGAGTTCGAATTACCCCGAGGACACGAGTAACGGACAAAAGGCATTCGAGGACGGAACTGCGAGAGGTGCAGACGTGAAGAGTGGAGACTTGAGAGTTGCTTAAACCACGAACTGAGGTACTGGAAAGATTGAGAAAGAAGTTTCCGTCCAGCGATAGCGGCAAAAGAATTTAGAAGAATAAGGATCGTAATACAGGATAGGAAGACGACGACAACTCGAGTTAGAAGTCATCGTGTGGCGTCCCACCCGACAGCATGTATAAGTCGAACATGCCAACGAAAAAATCCCGGGTATTTCTTTGTCTATCATATGTATTCTGCTTTCATCCTCCTACTTCTATTCTTCTCTTCCACTAATATTAAGTTAGTATGTAAGGTTAGTTATTAAGGTCGGGCCCTTTTATGTGATCGAGATCGGAAACGGTACAGTACGTGTGAATTGAAATATTGTAACAGTAGTAATATCATATACCATTTGTGTTAATAGTGACGTTGGAATCTATAAATAAAAAATAAGTTTTTTTTTTCTCGCAAAATTATTTCATTGTAAAAATCTTAATTTTGCTCACATATATCACACTCAAACCCACATTCCTTCACAGTAGCTTTGGCAATGGCAGTCATATACACTGGTGCATTGTCCTATAAGAGGTGAACATGATCATGATACAAATTAATACAACAAATCTAACTAAAATGAATGTTTCCAAGTGACTTATGCAAACTGTGTAGGAAAAACTGTTTTATTAGCCCACATACAGATGATGCTATCATTATTTTATTCCTATCATGTCTAAAATATAGTTAGGCTGGAAACTTTTGGCACCTACCACATTTATGTCATATTTTAAAATTATAAATATGAAGGTAGATGACATAAAAAATTAAATTAATATAATAATTCTGTACTGTAAAAAGATCATTATAATTACTTATAATTAAATCTACAACAAATTGGCAATTGAAAATAAAATAAAATAAACAAAAACTTTGAGATGATTTCTTCTAAACTACGTATCAGTTAAATGGCATTTTTTTCAAGAGCAAGTTTAGAGGTTCAGAAAAAAATGTCTCATAATAAATTTGTTATGAGAAATTTTATTCCATACCTCCTATAGCATGTGTTTATTTTCATTTTAGTAATTTTATACAGAGTTCATGTTTATGAGCATTAGACATAAGAAATTATGGCAATTTATTTTATTTTATAATTATATTATGATGGTTTATTGTTATTTTNTTGTTTTTTAGTTTTTTATTGTTTTATAGTTTATAATAAAATAAATGACGAAAAAGAATGTTATTGTTTATGTGCAACCTCCTTTCTGCCACAAAAAGTCGATTTACCGAAAACTACCGAAAATTGCCTAAGGAATCTACCGATGGCAAACAAATCGGCGTGGCAACACTGTGTGAAGTGTCTTCAGACTTGGTGGAGAGAGGACGTGTTTTTCCGTGCTCCAGAGGTATTTTCTAGTGTGTTTCGTTTTTAGCCCTAAATTTAGGCTTAGCTAGAGTGTCCCAGTGTTGAAGTATAGGAGATTAGGGTTACTTTAGTCCTAGCGCTGCAGTTAGGTTTAGGTTCACTAACCCTAACTTTTCTGGTGACTTTATTTAGCTAAGTGTTTGATTTTGGAGTACCACCATCTTGGCTTCGCCCGAGTCAGTCATCAGAGTAGACTGTCCGATTGGAAACAGTCAAGTCTTCTCAACCAGTGTTCCCACCGGCCAAACTAGCTTGGTCTTTCCAGTGACTTCCACTACCCTTGTAGACAACTGAATTTGGGACTTTTGTCCACGGACTCTTGGCTACATCGCTCTACTTCCACGAGGACTATCTTCTCCACAAGCATCCAGGAACATCTGTTTGGATTCTCCNATTTTATTCCATACCTCCTATAGCATGTGTTTATTTTCATTTTAGTAATTTTATACAGAGTTCATGTTTATGAGCATTAGACATAAGAAATTATGGCAATTTATTTTATTTTATAATTATATTATGATGGTTTATTGTTATTTTACAGCATCAATAATAACAAAAAATGTTTGTTATTATTTTACAGCATCATTGAGAATTTTCAAATGCACATATGACTGTGGTATCTATCTCAGTTGCAAGTTTCCTCAGGAGATCATTTTTACTAATTCTTAAATTTAAAAACTTGCCATCATAATATGTCAATATTTATGTAAATCATCATTGTCATTAGCGTCTCTACTATTATTTTCTGACATTGCAACTTTAAAGATATTCACACATTGGATAAACTGTATATAGTGGAGTAAATAATTAGACTATTTATATCTCAAACATGTAGAGAAGTGACTTGTAATTGAATACAGTTAATTTAACAAACTATCTCCATCAAAACTGTTGCATATCTTAGGCCATTATCATCTGATTTGGACCTTTTATTGAAAGATCTGTGAATTTTATCCAAAGAATAAAAATTAATACCTTATAATAAACAAAACAATAATGAACAGATACAACAAACAAAGAGAATAAAGCACAGCATTCAGACTGTTTCCTCAGAGTGTCATGCTAATAAATCAATCTAAAATAAATTAATGTAAAATTAATTATATAGCAATTACATCAGAAATATATAATAATACCATAAATAAATAATGATTTTTATTATATTTATAATCAAAATATTTTATAAAATGCAGAATAGTTTAACACACTCAAAAATAAAAATTTACTTGATTTTTTTCTACCAAATTACTAGAATGAACATAAATTATAATCATCATTAAGATGACTTACAGATTTTTAAATCTATTAACTAGAAGAAATAAATGTTGCATTCATTCAGAGCTATAAATAAAATTCTGTTGTTTATAGTTAATATAAATTTTCAAATTATGAAAAATAATGATTATATTATTTAATTTCTGTTATGTATAAGTATATGTTAGCTACTTATAAAATTTAACTTAACAATTAGTTCTCATTAATGAAATAATTATAATTAATTATGAAGTATTCTATTTAGTAATCCTTTGAGAGTTGATAAATAGCATACTTTATGATTAATATATGTACTTAATCATTCCAAAATCTCATTTGAATAATATATATGTATGTATATGTGTTTTAGATTTAAATTATTTA